TGCTACAGAAAAGGGGGAAATCGACAAAACAAAAGATCTTCGGAAGATCAATTTTTATGTTATAAATTTTATAATAATTTATAATAATTCATAAGAAATACAAACTTTAAAGAGCTATACTACAAAATTTTATTAATATAACTGCTTTCATGTTTTAAGTAAAAAATGATCCTAACATTATTCTAAATTGAGTTGTGTAAAAAAAAAATCCTTTTCTGTAGCACCAAGCCCATATATATGCAAAATTGCCTTCCCGTCATTTTTGTTTAACATACCCCCTATAAAAAAAATTATAATTTCCCGAATTTTTCTAAATTTCCGATTTCCTGGTTATAATTTTTTTTATATATAAAATTATAACCAGGAAATCGGAAAAATTCGGGAAATTTAGAAATACTCAGGAAATTATAATTGTTTTATATAGGTTTTCATTACGTAAAATGCTCATTTTTATCGGAACAAAATCCGAATATGATTTTAATTTTTTTTTTATAGGGCTCAAGGTCGGTTTAGACTGCTATTTTTTATATTTTTCAGGGTTTTCGCTTTTTTTTTCTTGCTTTGCTTCGCCAAATTCATAATTTGATTGGTCAGATGCACATGATTCTGCACCGCTTTAAATAGTCTAGATCACATGCATATTATATAAATATAGATGTATAATTCTGCAATATAATAATATTGAAAGTATGTAACCATATTTTATTAAAAAAGGGGTCGTCTAAAGGCAGGTACGTAGCAACTTTTATGAGTCACATGATTTTAATTTTAAACCTACTTGGCTTTAGACGATCTCCAAGAAAACCTAGCTAAATATGAAAGAACCAAGCAACGACCTAATAAGTAATTTTGTATAACTATTAACATTTTTATTTCTCGAATTTACTACTTGAAGCTAATATTTTTTTATTGATTAATTAATTAGTCATGTCATTGACGAAAAGATTAATACATTTTGTTATTAATTAGGCATGTATATTAACGAAAACGTGTTAAAAAAGTAATCCTAAGTGTAAAGTAAATTATATTGTGTACTGTTAAAAGGGTCGAATAACAAGTTCTATATCAAAGTATCGATGATAAAATTCTAGTCTATTAGAAAAAGGTGCTGTAGTAAATAGGTTGTTAAATCAATTCTATACCTAATTTTAAGTATATATTAAAAGAAAGATTAAAAGAATAGATATTTCTAATAATAATTTAATAAATAATCAAGAAAAAAGTCATCCAGCTTCTGAATATAATTCGAATCTCTTTAAAAAAAGGTTAGATTTGTGTATGATATCTATTAGAACCTTTAGAACCTTTAGAACGATTGGAACCATTGGAACTATTGGTACCATTGGAGCCAGTGGAACCATTGGAACCATAGGAACCATAGGAACTATTGGAACTATTGGAACTATAGAAACTATTAGGACACAATGCTTTCCAATCATCAGGTGGGTTTAATTTTTTAATTTCATCCGGTTGCGTAACGAATTGCGCAACAAGTCCTGCTTCAACGTGCCACTATAAATACATATATACACATTAGAGCCAAATAAACAAAAAATATATTAAAATTTGCTGAGATCACTATGATGAAATTACCTCAATATGACAGTGAAATCCCCATACACCGTGATTGTCTGATACAAATCGAAGAATAGTCCATCTAATGGCAAATAAATTATCATAAAGTCAAATTTATAGATCAAACTTTAAAAAAAAAAATCTAAAAATTAACATACCCGCCAGCAGGAACAGTTGCGGTATCTCGTTGTATTGGATCTTTAGTATTTAGTTTACTATAATCTGGTTGGGTGCCACTTTCACCTGAGCCGAGGACCCACATTACATGGCCGTGCTAATATTAATTTATAAAGTACTTAATCAATACTTATTAATTATTTGTCTATTAATTTGATAAGAATACATACTAAGTGGAATGGATGCTCACCAGTGTCTTGGTCTAATAATTAAAATAAAAAATATATAATTTGATAAATGTTAAAATAAAAAAATCATTTATAATAATTGATAAAAATTATTATTCGTACTTATTAATACAATATCGCAAATTTCATTTTTTTCAATTAAGAAAACATTTTGATCAGCCGCAAATTGCTTTATACCATTATAGACCTTTACAATTGTAGGAATGTTGTCCATCTTATAAGTTGAATTGTTTATATATCCTAGTACGACATTATCAGCATCTGGCTGGAAAACAATCACTGCTGTAGTCGTAAAGTTTTTGGTTGAATTAGGAACTTTTTGTGGTTTATAAGGCTTCAGGTCTGCAGCATTTAAATCCACACAATTTTCAACATCATCACTCCAAGCAGTTGATGATGGACTTTGATCAGTACTGCCATTATATGTAACAACAGCTTTTACTAGAGGATTGAGATCATCTGGTGCAACGGCATAACAAGCAGTTTCCATTTCTGCGCGCATCCAATATTGACTTACAGGTTGATTAGCTGTTACAATAACTGAGTAACGCTGAGCAACATTAATAGGAAGGCGGTGGACTGTGTGACGCTTGGTCATCATTCCTTCAACTTCAATTACATCCATAGGATGTCCATCGATCGAAAAAATGAAAGCAGAAAATGCTCTATTGGTAAATATGCATAAATCAATAAATTAACTAAATTATAGTGATAATAAGAAAAAAAAATAATAATTAATTAATTAATCAAATAAAAAAGTTAAGAAGCCTACGAGGTATTAATAATTCTAAGTCTATATTTCTTTCCTTGAACGAAATTGAATTGTGACAATGGAGCATTATTAACGCAATTGCTGCCTTCTGGTGCCCATGAGCAATTATAAGAATTTCGTCCATTAATCAAACCGTTATCGGGAGATGGTTCATTTCCTTGACTCTCAGGACTCAAAAAAGTAGCCAATAAAGTTTTAGCATCGGTATGATACCAATCTTGCAATATCACAATTATTTCTTCAACACATTCATCTTTATAAGGATCATCAGGATCATGAATTATAAGAGGTCCGATTATTCCTTCGATATATTGAGTTCTTGAATGTGAATGGCTATTTTTTTTTATAAAAAATTTAAGAACTCTTTAAAAATCATGTATATTTGACAACTCATGTAATTATATAAGAAAAGATACTTACTACCAGCACGTCCCGCTTTGTTCCACTTTAAATTTGTAGGTGAATGATCCTTTTGATGGAATTCCACATTGAGATTGACCAGGAACACCATCATACCAAGGAGTCCCACGTTGGAAGATTCCATGAGAATGAATCGAAGTATCCTCATCTAATTCATTTTTAACATTCATAACTATCGTATCACCTTTATTACATTCAATGAGAGGACCAGGAAATTGACCATTTATGAGAAACATATCTCGTTTGAAACCATCAGGTGCATAACTTCCTTTAGTGATAGTAAGATCATAAACTTTTTCATTTCCATTTTTTTCGTGAGAATTTTCATATTGAGAATCTTTACCCGGTATAATTGGCGAATATAGAGACATAAGTTTTGAAATTGATGAAGGTAAGGATATGTTAATACCATTTGCATTATTTTTTCCTGCTTTTTTTTGAGAAGTATTATTATACGGAGAATCATTATTCGATGAAACTGGTGAAGGTAGATGTACATTAAAAGTAAGATCATCTGCTTTTTTATTTCCAGTTTTTTTTTGAGAAGTAGTGAATGGAGAATCATGATTCAATGAATTTTGTGAAGGGGGTAGAGGTACATTAATAGTAAGATCATTTTCTTTTTTATTTCCTGTTTTTTTAGTGTACGGTAAATCATGATTCGATAATGTTGGTGATTTTTGATTTCCTGGTTTTTTTTGAAAAGAATTTAAGGAAGGATTATGATTCGTTGAAATTGGTGAAGATAGGGATACATTGGGAAATAGTAAAAAGAATGAATAAGTCAAAATAGAAACCAGCGTCAAAATTTTTTGGGAAAGCATTTTTTGATCAAGCTGTAAAAAAGAAAGAACAAGTGAATTAGGAGAAAAAATCACTGCTTATATAAACTTACCGTCAGAGATTTTCCTGTCACATTGTATATTTTATAACGGACAGAAGTTTTATACATTGTGTAAAGTATATGTGTTGTCTTGCATCTTAGATTCGAGGGAATAAACCAAAATTTATTAAATATGCAATGTAACTCTTAATTAGCTCTTTTCATTAACTCTTGCAATAATTTAATGCATAAGTATGTACGTACGTACATACATAAGTATATTAATAGCATACAAATTATGCACACCGAAGCAAAGAAATTTATAAGTTAAGGGTTTATCAATTAAGGTAATTCATAATTTATGTAATACTTATGTACCATATAAAGAACATTCATTAATCATATAAGTCGAAAAAAAGTAAATCAGAAAAATATCATAGAAATATCAGGTTCCGATTTTTGTTGATTTTTTGGCGCCCATTGTGACAACAACAGAGACATATCAGGTGCTGATAGAGCTATCAGAAAACTAATATGTGTTTGATAGTTCTATCAGCACCTAATGTGTCTCTGTTGTTGTCACGATGGGTGCCAAAAATCAACAGAAATCGGAACCTGATATTTCTATGATATTTTTTTTTATTGTCAAGTCCAAACTGAGAATATAAATGCTTGCTTCATGCCCTTTAAATTATCTCATTCGCACTAATCATTTATAATTATAAAGAATTTATCAATCGGTGAAATTAAAGTCAGTAAGTCAAATACAAACAAGAACTAAATGCTTACTTACCATTGTATGATGCCCTTCAAATCAATACATTCGCACTAATTATCTTATTCATATAATTAAATTATAATACATAACAATACGCACGCTCGATTTAATCTTAAATAAAATTTACCTTTGATACTAGTATTTTTGCTTTATGTAAATCTCCTTGTTTTTCTAATTCTATTCGATAACATTCTGCAACTCATGACATTTCACAAGCGAAGCCCGTCTTTGCAGGGTTTTGAGAATAAATGAATGCCTTATGTTCATCCTTTTCATTTTGATAACAGACGCTGATGTACTATTGGTTTGACTATTAAAGCAAAAATTAATATTATTGGCTACTTCTTTATTAGAAATTGTTCTAATATTTTAAGAATTGGAGAATTTTACCTTTATTCATTACACATGCTCTTTGTAATCTTAATTGCCGAGTATACAGTTAACTCTCACAAAATTTTTCCTCTTTGCTTTTCTAGCAGTCCAAGATAAACAACATATGCGTTACTCAAAACTTCTTGTAAAATATTTCCACTGCGTAAATCTCTGTAAACAAATTCCTGCGAATGAATTGACTCAGGATCCAAGGCTATACAATGTAATAACCCAATTATCTCCTAATTGTGATACTTGTACAGAGTTTTGTTGTAACGAACCTTTTATTACAATAACATAATCACTATAGTTATTTCTTAATGTTCAAAAACAGTTCAAGAAAGAAGAATTCTCGTACCCAATTCCTGGTTAAACTCTTGTATATTTTGTTTAGATCATGAATCACTTTAAGTGCAACATTTGTTGTTTCATTTAGAAAGCCCTGTGAATTGAGTAATATTGTTGGTTATTTGATTTTTTCAGCTGTTTTTCAAATACATTATTGTAATATTTTACACAAGAAATGAGTGCTGAAACAGAGGATATAATGCACTCATCTGCATTAATTATTTGTTCAACTTAATAAAGATTATTAATAAGTGAAATTAAAATTTACATTCACTAATAAGAACATAAATTCTTACTTACTATCATATTCTTAAAATCATTTTATTTGTATTATCCATCTTTAACTATAAAGATCATTTATTAGTCACATAAAATACTTATTTATTGTTATATATGTGTAGATCATTTCATTCAACCCATGAATATAAATTTTATTATTATAGTTAGTGAGACCTACACAATAGTATATTGTAATTTTTGAATCAAAAAATAGTTATTTTAAACATAAACTTTATATATGTGTTACATATCTTAAGTATATCTAAACCATACCACCTGCTTTCATCTACTACATCAGCAAATTTAATAGGGCATAATATTACGTAATAAATTACAAACTGTAAAAAAGACATAATATAACGTAAGATATTGCGAAACCTTGCAAAATATTAACTTACGAAATATTACGTAAGATATTACAAAATATTACGTAAGATAATTCGCAATATAGCAAAATAGAAAGCAAAAATTTATATCAAATTTACGGGTAGTAAATTAAATCGCATTAATTCGAACAGGCTTAAAGATGATAACAATAAGTAAAACTACTAAGTGTATATTATATAAAAAATAGTTAATATTTTAGAAATTTAAGTTATAAAATCACTAAATAGATTATAATATAAATCAAGTAAATTACCTATAAATTAAATTTAATTGCATTAATCCGCTCTAAATTAAATTTAATGTATCTAAATCAAATAGAATAGATAGGAATAATTTTTCAAATTAATTATATTATTAAAAACTTTTAATAGTTTAGAAATTTATTTTAATATAAATCAAATTAACTTAGAATAAATTAAATTAAATCGCTTAAGACTGCATTAAAATAATATAATGTAAATATATAGAATAAAATTTATAGGAATATATTCGAATTAATTAATTATATATTAAAAAACATTTAAAAGTTGATATAAATCAAGAAAATTTGAAAAAATTGTATTAGAAATAATAAATTAAACTATGTAAATATATCATATAAATTTGATAGAATATTTTTGAATTAATTATATTATTAAAAAACATTTAATAGTCTAGAAATTTGTATTAATATAAATCGAGAAAATATCTAATAAATCAAAGTAAATCGGATTAGATCGCTGTAATTTAATATAATGTACATATATTATATTAATTTGATAGAAACATTCAAATTAAAAATAATATTATTAAAAGACATTTAAAAATTTAGAAATTTATTTTAATATAAATTGAAAAATCTATGTTTACATTAATCTAAATTGCATTAGACCACAATAATTTAAGAAATATAAAAATATCATATAAATTTGATAGAAATATTTTCGAATTAATTATATTATCAAAAACATTTAAAAGTTTAGAATTTTAATTTTAATATAAATAGAAAATTTCGAAAAAATTAATATAAATTGCTTATACTGAAATAAATTAAAACATTTTTATATATCATATAAATTTGATAGAAAGAATTTCGAATTAATTAATTATATTATCAAAAAATATTTAATAGAGTAGAAATTTATTTGAGAAAATGTAGAATAAATTAATTAAATTGCATTCGTCTGCATTAAGTAAAACTAGAATATATCAAATAAAATTGATATGAAATTATTTGAATTAATTATTAAATTAATTTTAATATAATTTGCTGTTTTAATTCTACATTTTAAAGCAACGACTTTGGTTATATAAAGTATATTATTTTAATTTTTTCAAATTAATCCGATACAAATAATATTAAAACTAATATTAGTATTTGAATAAATCAAAAAAACTTGAAATATTTCTAATAAACGTAAAAAATTTGGTTTTCATTTAAATAATATTGCTTTTTTTATATGTTAACTGCTTTACGTCACACTAGTACGATTTATCTGCAAAAATATTTATAGTAATTTTTTAACGATATTATAATAATTTAATTAAAGTTACTTGTATATTTT